ATTCGGACGCGGGGGGGGGGGAAAACATTGACATCATTTACTACGATATAAAACACACCAAGGGGGTCACCATACACGTTACAATCTGACCGTACAATCCTCGTACAAAGGGCTTTAAGCTCACCGCGCATTTTACAATCTGATTGCAACGTCTGCGGTGAGCTTTGGTTTTACTTATTTAGTAGGAGGAGCTACCTGGCTTGTCCAATCAGTGTGCATCCAGACCGGCCCATGTACTACACCGGGGGGGGCAGCCTCAGTCCTGCAGCTGTTGTAGAACTACAAGTCCCATGAGGCATTGCAGGACTTGTATTTTGTGCCGAGGTGCCTGCTGCAGAGCGTCTACCATCAAGTTGCAGAGAATACCGAATACAATATATCAAAGAAAAGATAACAGCTGGCCCCTCCCCCTACTTCCTGAAAATGCTGCCTTCCCGGCCGTTGTGCCGATACCAGGAACACTTCCCGAGCCCCTCACAAATAGTCCTGACCGCACTCTCCCGTCTGTACGCCCGTTCCTGGGAATCCAGCGACAGCCGGGCGTCTGGTATCCCCTCAAAGCAGGACAGCACCCCCTCGTTAACCCTTTCACTGCCAGAGCCCATTTTATGTGCTCATTTTAGGCCTGGAGATTACCCAAACCCCCCGGAATTCCATATTTCCTGACGGCAGAGACCCCGGAGAATAAAATGGCGGTTGTTGCAAATAGTTTTTTATGCCGCACAATATCAGTGCAACGGTTGATAAAAAGTTAACTTATTAAAGTTATTTTATTGCACACAATCGCAATAGAAGTCCCAATTTTCTTGTAAAATATAAAAGACGAGGTTGTGCCGAGTAAAGTGACACCCGACACGGCGAGCTTAAAAATTGCGCACGCCCGTGAAATGGCGAAAAACTCCAACGTGCCCGCCCCTGCAGGGACAGGTGCTGCTTGTAATTGCGTGCAGCGGCCGGTACTTCCCTAGGGGAGGACGTGGCTGCATGCAGTTATACGCCGACCCGAACCCGCCCCATGTCGTATGGATGGCCACGCCCATGTGAATAAGCCCCGATGCAAGAGAAAGTAGCCAACAGCTTTTCCGAGTAGCCTGGCTGACAACCCCCACC